CCCCCAGAGGTCCGAGGGCGCTTGGAGGGCGGAGGCCCCACAAGCTCCCCAGAGCCCGCAGGCACACCGACGCCCGAGGAAGAGGGCGCAGCCCCCGTCCTAGGCGCCTTAGGGCAAGGCCCCTCCAGGGGCCCACCAGCCCTGCGGTCCCTCACCGTCCTGGCAGGAGCGGGGGGGGGCGGCGGTGGGGGGGGCCCTCGTTGGCCCAGGGAGCGTGCCTCTTTGGCGCGCCGACACGCTTCCCCTAACTCAGCATCCAGCTGGTCCCCACCCACACCATCCACCTGAAACCTCACCCGCTTAAAGGCCAAGGACCGCTCAAGACCCTCAGTCGCGACGGGCGGCGGCCTCTCTGGCCCACTTGGGGCTTCAACACCTCGAAGCTCCAAGGAGGGACCAACCTCGGGGGGGCCCGAGACGCACCCGCTAGGCCCGCCAGGGCCGCTCGGCCCAGCAGGGGCCGAAGTCGAGGAATGCGCAGGCGAAACACCCTCCAGGCCCCAGAGGGCCGCCGCCTCCGCGACCCTACAACGAGCCCTCCTAAGCCTAGCAGCACCTTTCGGAGTCACCGCGTAAGCGGAACAACGATCACAACTATACTTCCTGCCTCTGAGCCGCACACGATGCAGGAGCTGAGGCGGGCACGCCTGCTCACCTGCGGGCGAACCCGCACCTCGGCGCGCCCTCACGGCGCTGCCGCCTCCAGCGCCTGCCGCCTCCAGCTGCGCCCAGCGGCCACGCAGCTCCATGTCCCGCCGCCGTGGGGCGTCCACGCGATCGGGGGCCACGGTGCCGTCGAAAATCATCCTGGGGGCGTTTGCAATCCATGTCGCGACCGACCTGAGCGTATGCAGCGAGTCGGTGTACCTCTCGACCACGCCCTGAGGAAGGTCGTGCATCTGCCGCCCCCTCTTCGCCGCTTGATCAGCCAAATCATTGCAGCGGCGATGCCACGAGTCCTCACAAGAGTGGCCCTTGACGTAAGAGAAACAAATCGGCTCTTCCAGGCCACCAGAAATGGAGAAACCACCGTGATCCTCAAGCTGGTGAAGAAGGCGACGCCACAGATCGACGTTCTCACGCCTCGGATTGAGGCACCAGCGCTTGCCGCGCGCCAGCCCCTCACGCAGCGGCAAGTAGTCCGCGAAGATGTGGAGCGGGGCCACGCCGGCGGACAGCACCTGAACCACAGCGAAAAGCTCTCCCCGAGCGGACGTCTGGCGATGGCCAGGAAGCGGCCCAAAGACAGCTCCGTAGTAGCGAGAATCTCCCACAACCACGAATCCCCAGCCCGCGCGGTCAGCATCGTCCCAGTGAAGCATCTTCTTGCACGATCCGTCAGTGAACACCGAGCCTGTGACGACAAAATGTCCTTCAGACCGAGCTCCACGATCATAGCACCAAATGCCAGTATCGTTCCTGGGCGGCAAAGCAGGCAGAAAGGAGTTGGGGTACAGCCCACGAGAGTAGAGCAAGTCCCCAGGTGGTGCCCTCCTTGCTGCATCCAGGGTGGCTTCAGAAACCGCAAACTCACGAACGTCATCAAACACGTGGCATCTCCAAAACCTGTGGTGAGCCGTTCCGTCGACACCAGGGCAGTTCCTGCAGTCGGGGCAATGAGCGTATGCGTGACGGTGCAATCGCTTCTGCGTGAAGTGGCCTCCCACGACCGCGGTACGTAGCGCAGCCCGAGCCGGCGGATCCAATACCCAGCGCTTGGCCCTGGGGCCCGAACGAAGCAACGCACGAATGGGCCCCAACCACGCCCCAGCAGGATCCTTGTGAGACGGGCCCTCAAGCTCTGGCATCACCTCTGGCCTGGCAGCCCACTGGTACCAGCCCACGACCTCAAAGTCCTTGAGCGCCAGCCATTTGACGCCTGACGGGGCCACCTCACGTAAGTCCAAAGTAGCGCCAGCACGAGCACGTACACAACATGCCGAGGAAACAGTCCAGCCCAAGTGCGTAACAGACCGCGCAAAAGCACCCGCAGGGCCCGCCACCAGCTTCCAGCTCGCACGCAAACCAACAGAGGCCACCTTCCAGAACTGAGAGCGCCATGCCGTCTGCAACGTGGAGTGATCAACTTCCCCCGACTGAATCATTAAAGCCCAGTTGAAAACAGGTCCAACAATGGCCACCGTCGCTGGTTGAGACTCAAAGCCATCCTCCAACCTCGATGCGATCCAGTGCGAGGCCCCCGAGGGAATGACGTTCCAGCCTAGCTTCGCCAGGGAGGTCATACGCTGGACAAGGTGCGGCCCAGCTCCCACAATGCCCAAGCCGTAAGTGATAGCAGGGCCGACCGCAGCCTTGGGAACCTGCCTGAACTTCGCCCCGAGATGGCTCAGCCTCCTGAAGTGCCTGGCCCGCTTCGAGACACGCCCGACCCGACCCCGAAGCACGCGAGCACGAACGCTCTTGCCAGCAGCCACCTCCAGGCCCAGGACCTCCAACCAGGACCTGGCCTGGAAACCGTACCTCCGTAGAAGCCGAGCCACGGCGGGGGCGGTGGAGTCGTCAGACGCTGTGAGAAAAGCCTTCGACTTCGCCACGGGAAGGCCAAGATCCTGCAGGGTGTCGCAGAGCAATGCCACGGCGTCGGTGGCAATCCTGCACAAACCCGTCCGCCTGGCCACCATTTGCAGGGTAAGGTCGTCCGCGAATACGTCCAAAGAAAAGGAGAAACCCATCTGCGCAGGGATGCCGAGCCCCACCGTGCAGACGAAGTCATCCAACGACGCGAGCATCAGCAGCTGCACCATGGCCATCGCGAACTTGCAGCCTGGCAGAACTCCCTGAGGCACCGTAACAGCATACGGCGTAGCCTGCTGCCACGCCAACCTGCGAGGCGCACGGTACATCACCAAGGCACATGAAATCAAGTGGCGCGGAAATCCGTGCTTGGCCGCCGCAGAAACCAGCCTCCGCCAACAGATGCGGTCGAAGCACTTCTCGACATCAACAATGGCCGTGGCGACGCCATCCTCGACCGCCAGTGCAGCCTCGGCCCTCACTAAGGCCCGTGAGGCCACATCCAGAGTGGTCTTGCCAGAGGCCAGGGCGAAGAAAGGCCTGTCGTGCTCCAGCAGCCAAGTCCGCAGCTGCCCGCTGCGGACCTGCGACCATACGCGGTAGGTCGCCTGCAAGAGCGCGATGGGCCGCCATCCACCTTTGGGCTTCGCCAGGAGCACAATGTGGACGGCAGCCATCTGCGTAGGCCAGCGCTCCCAGTGCTCCGCCAGCCACAGCACATAGACGAGCAACGAGAGGGTCTCGTCCGTGAGCAGGCTGAAAGAGCGAGGGGCAAGTCTTTCAGCACCCTGCCCCGTATGCCACTTGAAGGACTTAGCTGCCGCACGCAACTGCCCAATCTTCGGCGCAGGCAGGGAGGCGCGCGGCAAACGTCGAATATCCTCGAAGAGCTGGGCCGTATCAGGGAACTCCGCGAGGTGTCGCACCACGTAGTCGTCGGGCCCATCAGCCGCACCTTGCACTTGATCACGGGTGGGGACCGCGGGCGCTGGGCGCGCGTTCCAGATGCCCGACCAACCATCCATTTGATCATCAGCAACATCCTGAGCAAGGGTGGAGGGCCTCTGGTGCCGAAACACTTGGGAATGAGGAACACCAGGCGGTCTAGTGAAGCTGAAAAGCGGCTTGATGCGAGACTCGCGACAGTTGGCAGCCCATCGCGCAAAGTCCCGCCTGCGCTCAGCCATCGCCTCCTGCTCCAGGCCGTCGGCGTAGGATCGAAGCCAACCAATGACAAAATTGACTGAATCCATCAGTAGGCGCTGAATGCCATTGAGACCCAACCCCGCGAGACCAGTAGCAGGCCTCCCAGCGTGGTCGCCTGACTGCACCAAGGCCGCACGATCCAACAGCTCCTGGAATGCAATGGGGGACGCTTCAACGACCTTTCGTGCCAGCGGCAAAACGCCACGCAGCGTGGCCACCGCGTTCTGGCACTCGGGCGAGCGAAAAGACCTTTCGGCGCCCAGAGAGACAAGCCTGTCCAAGCGCCGCAGCATATCCAAGGGTTGCAGGCCAGCACGCAGCGCGTCGCCCGTCGCCTTGGCCAGACGTCGAGCACGTCGAGCGTCAGGAGGTGCGACAGGTCTCGCAGCAGCAGGCGTTCCCCCAGCTTGGCGCCAGCAGTAGGCCACCTTATCAGCTCGGCCGCAGTAGCGAGGAGCGTCGCACACAGGGATGCCGTAACGCACGAGCAACTCCTCCTCCACGGCGTTCACGAACTCAGCGTATAAGCGATCCAGCCGCGCCTGAGCCTGAACAGGACTCGCAGCTCCTCCCAGTGCCACATCATCCTCGATGAGGTCGCGAGAACCAGCCGCCAGCACAGGCGTGACGTCCTCAGTCGGGGCTGCCTTCGGGAAAGCCTTCGGCGCCCGCAGGACGAGGAATTTGACCGCCTTAGCCCGCGCGTCGAGGGACGTCAGCATAGGGAAATGTGGCGATGCAGGCCAGCCCTCCACAGGGTGGGGCAGCGCTAGCGAACCCGCAATAGACAAGCTGGCCAGCCAGTAGTCGATGGTCGAGTAGGCTCCCTGAGCGCTGCGGCACGTGCCCACTGGATGGCGCCCTGTAGGAGCGGGGGGGCTCGCGACCACTGCTGCAGGAATGAAGTCCAAGAAGCCATACTCCAAGAGGTGCTTCGGATCGCAGTTGAAATCCCCCGCCGCAAGAAACGGCCTGTTCCAACCCCGCAGCGCTGTAGCGATGTCGTAGAGCCGCATCACATTCACGTCATTCCATCGTCCCACCTCAATGTAGCAAGACAACAGCACGAGCCCACCTTTGATGCCCAGATCCGCATGACATGCAACACAGAAGCTCGGAATCAGGTCAAAACCTCGCAGGCCTGGCAGCATCGTCACGCTGATGTGACGTCGAATGAAAAGACCAACTCCAGCAGACGGGCGCCCCGACTCCAGACGTCGGCAAGATGGGATAATAGCATGCCATCCAGCTCGAGCCGCCCAGCCTTCAGCGCGCCGACGATCGTCGCCGTCGATGCGCAGCTCCTGGGCCGCCACCACCTGGATGCCAAGGTCGCAGTGGGTCAGAAACTCCCTGCGCGAGGCCCAGGACGAGCCGTTGTAGGTGACGAAAGAGGCCTTCACGCGGGCGCTGCCACGACGCCCGCGGTGTCTAGCCTTCCATGTCGGCCTCGCCTGCGGCTTCCCAGGCGGCTGCGGCGGTTCCCCCGCCAGCGCGAAACGCATGGGCAGCACCGGGAGGCAGCGCCGCAGCAGGGGGAGCCGTGGCAGATGGCGAGGAGTCTGCTGGGCCTCCTGCTCCAGTGGCGGCGGGGGCAGCCGCAGCTCCTGAAGCCATGGGGGCTGAGGCGGCGGGGGACGCTGTGCCAAGCGCTGCAACCTGCTGCCCGATCGCCTCCAAGACTGTGATGCCCTGCCCACTGGCGACGCGCGCAGGGGCACTGGCGAGCGTGGCCTGGAGGCCGACCAGCGTGGAGGCGAGGGCTGCCAAGTCGGCACCACTGGAGCTCGCCGCCGAGGCCGCCACGGCGCGCTGGGCAGCCTGAACCTCCACCTCCAGGTTCTTGACCTCCACGTCGGCCACGCCCTGCTGCCTGCGGAGATCGTCGACCTTCGCGATAGCCTCCACGAGGTCGTCCGCCACCTGGGAGGCGCTAGCCCGCGCCTCCTCCACACGCTTCTGGAGGGAGACCAAGAGCTGTTCAGGGGGCTGAGCACGTCGCTCCTCAGCCTCCAGGGTGGCGAGCTCCTGTCGCGCAGCCTGGATGAGCGGGTGCTCGTCGGCGTAGCCAAGCTTCTGGAGAGCTGCCAATCCTTGCCTGGCACGCACGACTGCAGGCCCAGCAGGTTCTCCGTGTGCTGCACCGCCAGGAGGACCAGCACGACCGCGAGGAGGAGGGCCAGAGCGGCGGCGGCGGCCCGCGGATGCCGACCTCCCGCCCTGCTCCGAGGAGGCGGGCGACTCGCGGACCAGGCGTCCGAGGCGGTCCCTGCCGCACTTCCAGCACGTCTCGCGGCTGGGGAAGTTGTTGCGGAACCCGCACAGCCTCGACGCAGCGCAGGGCCAGTTTGGCTGCTGGGGCAGGGCCGCGCCCTGCCTGGGCTGCTGCTGGGCCATGCCACGGCCGCTCCCACGGTCGCCGTGGTGCCCAGCACGCCTGGCGCGGGCCGCGGTGAGGCGCAGCACGACCCTTGCACGAGATCTCAGGCGGCGAGCCCGCCCGTGCCACCCTGGGCTGCGCGAACAGGCCCTCGGGAACACGATGTGCGGGCGCCCGCACGCAGCGGGCCGCCGGCGCGGGGGCTATGGCGCGGGCCCCGCGGCGCCCGCCCGCAGGCAAAATGGCTGCGGGGGGGCGTGGGGCGGGGGCCACGGTGCCAAGCCACCTTGAGCCAAAATGGCTACGGAAGAGTAGGGGGGGAGGAGGAGGAGGAGGAGGAGGAGGAGGAGGAGGAGGAGGAGGAGGAGGAGGAGGAGGAGGAGGAGGAGGAGGGGAGGCGGAGCGGAGGCGGAGGCGGAGGCGGAGGCGGAGGCGGAGGCGGAGGAGGAGGCGGAGCGGAGGCGGAGGCGGAGGAGGCGGCGGCGGCGGCGGAGGAGGAGGAGGAGGAGTGAGGAGCGGCGGAGGCGGAGATAAAACGCGGGGCGGAGGCGAGGCGCGAGGAGGGGAAGGGGGAGGGAGGAGGGGGAGGGGGAGGGGGAGGGGGAGGGGGAGGGGGAGGGGGAGGGGGAGGGGAGGGGGAGGGGGAGGGGGGAGGGGGAGGGGGAAGGGGAGGGGAGGGGGAGGAGAAGGGGGTGAGGGGGAGGAGGAGGAGAGGGGGTGATGATGATGATGAGGATGATGATGATGATGAGATGATGATGATGATGATGATGATGATGATGATGATGATGATGATGATGATGATGATGATGATGATGATGCTGAGAGGATGAGGATCGAGGATGAGGATGAGGATGATGATGATGATGATGATGATGATGAGGATGATGTGATGATGATGTCGATGCTGATGATGATGTGATGATGATGAGACGATGATGATGCTGAACTGATGATGACGATGATGATGATGAATGATGATGATGATGCTGATGGTGGTGGTGGTGGTGGGTGGTGGTGGTGGTGGCTGGTGGTGGTGATGATGATGATGATGATGATGATGATGATGATGATGGATGTGATTGTGCTGATGCGATGGTGGTGCTGAATGCTGATGCTGATGCTGATGCTGCTGATGATGATGATGATGATGATGATGATGATGATGATGATGATGATGATGATGATGATGATGATGAGGACGGCTTCATGGTCGAGAGAGAGGGAGAGAGAGAGAGAGAGAGATACAGAGAAACAAGAAAAGAAAGAGGGGGAATATGGAAGGACCGCTCCCCCTCCCCCTGGACCGCGTCCCCCCCCTTGCCATCGGTCTCCGCTGAGTGACCCAACCACGCACCATGAAAGCAGCTGCCTGTGCCGAGATGGCCTCTCGCGCCTGCCCGGACTGCGCGGTGTGCCCGCTGCGCTGAAGCCGGCCCGCAGCGGCTCTCTCCGGTCTTCGCGTGCTCTTCCGCGGGCCGTCGGGACTTTCGCAGCCCAACAGATTGATGGGCGGGCTTCGATGATGTCGGGCATGTCCCTCTATAGGGGGAACATTCAAGAATAGTCAAAACATAGTCTGGGGGCGATTTCCCGAGTATTTTTTGATTAGTTTGAATAATCTGTGAGTGTTTTTTATTTTTTCCTCCAAATCCGCCTGCTGGAGGATATGCCCGATCGAAGGCTTCGAGGGGACGGACGGAGATGAGGGGATCGTCGGCGACAGCGAGCCCTTTGAGCGAGGTCAGTGTGCTTCGGATACTGCTTGAGAGCCATGCTCCAGCCGTGAGCTGCGGTTGACTGATAACAAGTCTCGGCACACTGGACGCGGCTGAGTTTTGGATCCAAATCGGTTGTCACGGAGCTCGCTCGCGGGAGCTCGTGCTCTTGATCCTGGGGCGCCAGCGTGGTGGACGCATCCATACCGCACCTGGGCTCTGGGCTCGAAAAGTGTCGTCCGGGTAGGCTAAGCCATCTTGCAGATACGAGCGCCCATACGTTTTACCCTCCATCATTCGACCCTTCAAGATTTCTCGGGATGGAAATTTGTGTGTTCTATGGGGGTGTATTGTCGGATGGGGGTCCCCGCTTGAAAGGCCACCTCGGGGTCCGACAACCCGCAGACATAACACAGCCATTGCGCCTTCATCTCAGTGTCCTTCCCCATTCTTCCTCCCTACAGGTTTGAGTGTGTGCTGATCTTTCATCACAGTCGGCGCGCAGCTGGGAGGCCTCTCATCGAGCACATGATCTTCTACCTCACGAAGACTGGTGGGGATGCCAGGACGGCTGCCCGTCCGTTTCATCTCCGCGAGAACGGTGGAAGGGACAAATGATTGGGCGGCGGCGCCAAGGGATATGATCCGTGAGGGCTTCGCCCCCTGCCGCCGGCCCCCTCTCTCGGAGAAATGTGGTTAATCTCCTGTGTTTTTGGACCCTGACCCTGCCGATCTGCGTGAGGGGTGCCGCCGAATTTTAGAAATGTGGCAAATCTCTTGTGTTTTTGAACCCTGACCCTGCCGATCTGTGTGAGGGGTGCCACCGAATGACAGAAATGTGGGAAATCCAATGTGTTTTTGGACCCTGACCCTGCCGATCTGCGTGAGGGGTGCCACAGAATGTCAGAAATGTGGCAAATCCTATGTGTTTTTGCACCCTGACCCCGCCGATCTGCGTGAGGGGTGCCAGCAAATTTTAGAAATGTGGGAAATCCAATGTGTTTTTGGCAAATCCCTTGTGTTTTTGGACTCTGACCTTGCCGATCTGCGTGAGGGGTGCCAGCAAATTTTAGAAGTTTGGCAAATCCCGTGTGTTTTTGGACCCTGACCCCGTCGATCTGCGTGCGGGGTGCCACCGAATGTAAGACATGTGGCAAATCCCATGTGTTTTTGGGCCCTGACCCCGCCGATCTGCGTGAGGGGTGTGAATTGTTACTCACCCCAGCAATTCAGACAGTACGTTTCCTCCGTAGTAAAAGTGCCAGTTTTGGGGCTCCCCCCCTCGCGCGGTCCATCAACAGGGAACAGTAAGCAGCAAGAAGTCAACAAGGAACAGTAAGCAGCAAGAAGCAGAACTGTAACATTGGAAACTGGAAGCTGCAACTGGTACAGGAAACTGCGAATCCTCGGCCTACAGCCTGGTGGCCCCACAATGGGGGCTGGCGGATTTTACACTCAACTCACGTTTGGCCGTTGCCTTGGCATCTCTCGGAAGTGTGCATTCGTTTTCGGCGAGGACCATCGAGGAGTCTCTTGGGCCATCTTGCGAGAAAGACACGCACGAAGCCGACACATGCACGACGCGCTAGGAATCGATGGGGCCCATTACATACACCCAAATGTTGGCGGCGAGCGAGGGGGGAAGTGAGAAGGGGCGGGCCTTCTCAGAAGGCTCGGACATCTCCCAGCTTTCCGAGAAGGTGTGCCAAGCCTTCCCCGAAGACGCAACAAACCTCTCAGAAGGCCCGAGGCCTTCTGAGAAGCCCCGCCGCCTTCTGAGAAGGCCTTCTCCTTCTCATTTCTCCCCTCGCTCGCCGCCTAAAATACTATACGCTTCAACGTTCTGCGACTGATCGGCAGTCTGTGAACATACTGCACCCGTGTCCCGCCCTCTCCTTCTCCTCCCCTTGTTCCTTTCTCCTGCCCACCCCCTCTCCCCTCAACGCCAAGCCTTCCACCCCTCTCTCCAGGGCTTTCTCTAGTGAATACCTCCAGCAGCAGTTCGGGCATCGAATTTCGATGGGAATTCCATTCGGATTCCACCAGATGTGGGAGCGTGGGAGAGAGGATGGCCCAGAGGTCTTGCGTTGTTTAAGGTGGCCTGAATCTTGACCAGTCCGCTTCGCATCGGATCCCGTCCAACCTGAGCAGCTGCATAGCATTATTTGTCAGAAATATCAGTGGCGAACTGAAAGACCTGGCGCTGTCGAGGCGGGGGCTGACCTTGTGGATCCCAGATCCCGCTCATCCTCCTACCTTCTACCTCCTACCATCTCCCTTCCCCCTACTCTCTTTGTCTCTCTGTCTCTCTGTCTCTCTGTCTCTGTCGCTTTCTCTCTCTCTCTCTCTTCTTTTTTTGTTTCTCTCTCGCTCTCTCTCTCTCTCTTTATTCGTTTTTTTGTTTCTCTCTCTCTCTCTGTATCTCTCTCCCTCGTGCTCTGTATCTTCTCTCGTTGTTTGTTTCCTTCTCTCTCTATTTGTCTGTCTCCTTCTCTGCCACTCTCTTTCTCTCTTCCCCTCTCTCTCTCCCTCTCTTTCTCTCCCTCCCTCTTCTCTGCGCAGGCAGGCACACTGTTCTAGACCAAGGCTTGAGCGAGAGGCAGAGGACACGTAAGACTCGCGCCGCCCACTCCGTGGCAGATCCGCACTCGCAGAGGCCTGTGCCAATCTTTCCCTGCGACGCTCGAGCCAGCCTGGAGCGCGTGCAGCTCGATGCCGGGGAATACCTGGAGTACAGTGGAGGCCCATGCCAAGAAACACCCTGCTTGCCTCCAGGGTGCCCTGGGTTTCTTGGGTTTCGGTGGTTTTTTGTGATGGAGAGCGCGACGCTCCCGCACCAAGCATCGGTGAGCGTCCTGGGTCTCAGGGTGGGGTTTCTCGTGGAAGGTTTCTTGTGGTCGGGCCCCACTGTTCGGATAAAGCTCTCAGGGACATTTCAGCTCCACATTACGCTCCTC